ATTGGTATCTCTTCAAAATGTGTCTTGATTAGATGTATTTCCCCAAAAGATGCATCCTTTCGCAGTAATTTTCATCCATGGTGGTTGTGACCACCTATTAAGCCAATAGGTGCCTCAAAAACCTCTTTAAAATTCACAAAAGCCGAATTTACTCATCCAATAACTGCCACTGGCGCTTAAGAGTGGGGCCTCTGGCACTTAGGCGTGGCCTTCTCAGTTTAACCGACACTTAGGCATCAAAATACTTTTGTACATTTTTCACCTATTTGCTCCAAATTTACTCATTTTTCACTCCTTTAAGCATTTTTCACCTTTTTATCTGTACTTGAAAGAAAAATAAAAAAATACCTTCCATTAAAGTGCAATATCTAAAACATAGGTATAAAAATGTGTCTAAAAATACTATATATTTTAGACGTATCAGCAATTAAAGGAGCTTTGTTGCTCTATAAAAGTGAATTTATCTCATCTTTATTATAATCTTCCTGATTGATTGCGAGTATCTTTTGAGCCTCTGTAGACTCATGATGATCAACAACATCAAGCTAAGAGACAAGATTATTAATCATAGTCTTTAGGCGTTTATGGTCACTATCATCACTCGACGAGAAGTCATCTTAAAATCGTGCAATTCGTCACCAAGGAGGCCATTCTCATCAAGAAAGACGTGTAGTAAATCAAAAAGGTTCCCGGATAAATCATCCTCAATATCATCGCAAGCCTCACCTTAGAGTTTACTGAGGAGGATCTGATACTAGATTAAATTCAGGGACGACTCCCTCCGGGCCCATCTCAACAACTTCTGAAACCATGGTTTTAAAAGCCGGACCGGACCTGTCGGTTCAACCGATTCAGCCGTGAACTAGTCATTCTACTAGTTCGATGCAAGCTCAAAATCATTGCTACATAGAACTGAAATTGAACTGGTTAGAACCGGGGTTGAACTGAAAAATCAGTGAACTGGTCGGTTCAAATATTATTCACTTTTAGCCTCTTCATTTTCATCGGATGGCTAAAAATAAGATATTTAAATTAAAAAAAAGAGAGATATTATCATGTTATAACTTTTTTTGTTTATAATATTGTTCAAAATATTCAAAAATATTTTCTTAAATTAAAATATTATTTATTGAATCCATAATAGTGATATTAAAAGATCATTATTCTGTTATTTAAATTATATTAAAATAATTTAAATATTTATTACGTCATCTGGTTGAAGCCCGATTGAACTATTGAACCTTCAACCTTCTTCCGGTTCAATGTCTAGTCTAATTTTCATAACATTGATAGTAATTTTAAAATAAATAAATACATTTTATTATGCATAGATAAGGTGACATATACATAAAAATTGAAGTTTAGATATCAGATATGCAAATACGTAGAAGTTGTGTGCCATGTACGTAAAACCATAAAAAGAAAGCAATTATGGGGAGGTAGACAAAATTGAGAGGGATGCCCTTCTCCCTCTTCTAAACAGTTGCTCAAATCCTCAAATTGTTCGTCAACTTTTCTATAATATCTTCCAAATCATTCATATCATATAAAAATATCCATAAAATAATTTTAAAATAATAAAATACCCCTTAATTTTAGATATGTAAATACATAGAAATTGAGTGCTATCTATGTAAACCGTCCCCTACAATAAAAGGAACCGAGGTCGATCTACCCAGTGGGAAAGAATTGAGCGCGATTGCCGTTCTCACTCAGGTTCTCCCTCAATCCCAAACGGCTGCTCGAGTTCGGTCATGGATTTGTATTGTTCGTTGTCCATGAGACAGAGAGAGAGACCGATGGTCGCACGGCGGTGCACCTGACACTGTTCACAGCAGTCTTCTGTGTTCCAGTCTCTGTCAAGATCCCATGCGCTGGCGGGTAATCCTTTCCAACCATTTAGCTGCCAACTTCTCTTTTAGTGGATAGGTCATTCGTAAGCGTATTGGAATATGTACTTCGCGCTTGCATGTACAAGAAATCATTGCATTTATGCTGATAGGTATATCCATTGCCATGCTGTTGTGTAATTGTTTTTGGTAACTTTTTCGTCTAGCTGTTAAAATTTCTAGGGGAAATTTTACATTCTTCCGCTTCGATGGATCTATCTAGATCAGAATTGCGGCATACTCACCCAACCTTTTGGCTTGACTTACCCAACCTTTTGGCTTGACTTCGAAGAATGCTTGGACTTATAACTTTAATATTGTGATGATTATTATTGTAAGAAAACTGTAAAAGGTGTAGAAATATAACACAAACACTTCAGGTTTATATGGTGCTTGGCTTGATTGTTTGTTTACACTTAATTTGGTGGAATATCTATCCCATCCTTTAACACTTGGGCAATTCCAACTTGATTGTCAGATGATGTAAACTATTACACCTTTTTTGTTGTAAGAGACGTGATAGTTTGTAAATGCTGGTTTTATGATACTCAACAATCTTGGCCAGCCTAATTTCAGATTGGCTGGGCGACGAAACTTTGTAGTCATTGCAATGAATTGATGTTTATTTATTATGTATTTACTTGTGGAGACAAGTATCAAATGCATCAGTTTCTTCATATCATACTGTTTTAAAGAGTACTTTGTTTGAAAAGTTTTCTTTGTATTTAGTAAAGTCGTCCATCTGCAGACATATGTATATATATATATATATGTATATATATCCGTGTGCGTGTGTGTGTAGGTTTGTTAAGGATTCGATTTCGAGCCAGACCCGGATCGGTCAAAATCCGCTCGAAAGAAATTCGAACAAAAATTTTGGCTCATAGCTTGACTCGTTTATTTCGATCCAATCTCGATCCAAGCCAAAATTTTGAATCAATTTTGCAGCGATTAACGATCTTTGGGCTAAATTCACTATATTCATGGCCCTAACATTACTAGGATTGTTTCAAAAAAAAATTATATCCAAAATTTTGGCTCGTAGCTAGGCTCATTTATTTCGATCCGTTCTCAATCCAAGCTAAAATTCGAATCAGTTTTCGAGTGATCAACGTACTACGAGCTAAATTCACAACTCTATTTGTGTGTGTATAACATATTTAACCTCTTGACAAGTGGCCATATGATATTTTCCTTTTCTTTCAAAGATGTGGTCAATAGTTTCAAACCCCACAAAATGATGAATTCACCCTTTGAGGAACATTGTTGATGAAAAATTGAATTAAACAATCCCATTCTTACTTCTTTGAGTAGATTTACATCCAATTTGGGTTTGCACTATCTTATGTGAAAATTTATTATCTGTTCCCACAGCTTTTCTCATACGTCCTTCCGTTTGATCTATCTCTGTACTTGCTTCCACAATGTTCGATCCGAATTTGTCCAATGGTGACATCCAAAGCTTATTAATATGACTTGTGAGGTTGGGTTGTTAAAAGGAACAAAAATTAAAAGAGAGAGATTCGAGAAAGCTCTGAATATTCTATTTGCCATAATAAAAAGTACGTGATACTATAAATGTTCTTGCTGGCGCCCATTGGCCTCATACTTATAGGGTTTTGAGCGCTACAAAAAATGTCATAATTGAAATAAATAAATAAATAGATGAATTCTTTATTTGTCACATGGGCACTATGACAAGACTTAGGATAGGTAAACATGGATGGTTGAATAGGAGCGACTCCTTTTGGAATCTTTTGATCTTGATTTGTGGGTTGTCTGTTGACTAAACAAGGTTGCTCAACTTGCTTAATCTGAACTTATCTTGTATTCTAAGTGACTGTTTTGAGGAATAGAGTGAGTTTAATTGGGTTGATGAATCCAATATATTGAAGCAAATGAAGTTTGGATTAGGACAGCCATGTATGAGTTAGGCGAAACTATTCTATTATTCATTTGGATTGAGAAAGTCCTTTTTAGTCATGTGAGTGTCATTGCGTCTTGGACGAGTGAACGTTGAGTCTCAGGTGAGTGTATTTTCTTTTCTTTTACTGATTGAGTCCACATATTTGACATATAATTAATTCTTTGATTTTTTTTGCTTTTTTGGTGACTCGCTGACTAAAAGATCAAAATAATTAGATGAAGTATTTATTATTTGAAAACAAAAATTTACTTTTACTTATTTTGCTTTGATATTGGGAATGGTGTCTACTATTATTTCCTTAATCAAGACAATGATATGACTCCTCTATATGATGGAATCTCATTAACCTATAAATACTTGGGACTTAGGGGCTTTATACTTATTTTCAATTTTCAACAGCCTTTCGTCAATTTGTATGCTTATTAAGAATGATGGGACCATCTTCATATTTTAACCTATTTAACGAGAGCAACTCGCCAACGGCTATGACAATGAATAGTCCAGACAACGACCCACGTATAAACATCAAGTATCAATTTCCTTGAATTGGGGGTGCCCAGAAGGAATAGAATTGACCTACTGGGAAGAAATGAAGAGGCCAATTTAAGCTGTAGAGGTCAAGGTGCAATACATATTTGAGAGGATCAAATCCTACTCATTTTTATGTTGCAGCTATGGTATGCCAAGTTGATGTGTAAATTTTTGCTTAGGTGGCTTCCTTTTTTCATATAAATGAATGCTATTTCAACTGTATACTCGAGAAAAATGCAAATTTGGCATATTTATGATTTAGTTGTTGTTGGATGTTTGTAAATTTGGGGCCTTGATGATTTCAATTGAGAATAACCTCCCTTCACAAAAGATATTATAATCTTAATGATTTTTTGTTGAATATCGTCACTTTACTTCATTCAATATTTTTTATGAAATAATACTCTATGATGATTTTCTTGAGTCAAAGCTCTCCTAGTCCCAACTTTAGAAGCATCACAAGTGACCTCAAATGTGCTACAACCTTAACTTGATTGAATTAGGTGGGAACTTTTTTTATTGCAAGAGTTCAACAAAATTATTCAAATTTTGAAGAATAATCATTGGGGAAACATCAATTCTAATATCCTCAATTAATTACTTATAGAACCATCTAGATTATGAGAATTTATTTCAATAAAATTTTTAGGCAAATCTAGTCTAAGGTTGCTTTAACTTTGGAAGGGTTTGTATTTTTGCAGTGGAAATGATGAATGCTTGAAAATCACTTTTGTTGGTGATAATTAATATTTCCTTAAATTGATGTGCAAGTTATCGTTCTTAATACTCATGAACTTATTTTAGATAATGCAATTAATTTATTTCATTCGGGTTAAAATCCAAAATGTCATCAGTGCACACGACTAAAAAATTTTTTACGGGTTAAAATCCTAACTGTTCAAAGTATACGGCTAAAGAATTTTTTTGAAGGGTTTTGTGATAGTATTTATTAACCACATAACTAATATGCAAGGTGCATTTGAAAATCAAAATATCATTACCAACCATTTGTATGATTTATCATGAGATTTGAGATCAAATTTTCTTTTATCTCTTGATCAAATACTAAATTGGTGATAATTTGAAACCAATTTAAGGGAAAAAATTTTTACTTTAGATCAAATGTCACATATCATCTAATCAAGAATATGAAATCTATACGTTATAATGACTTTATTTATGGCCTAAAAATAAATTTTCCGTATTCCATCTTTCGTAAGAGCTACGAAGGATGAGACTGCATAGAAGCTATCCTTTTTGATTTTTAGTATGTTTAATGTGTTCGATCATTTATAGAAGAATGTTGGGAACTTAGAGCAAAGTCAGTGACATATTGTATAATTCTAAAAGTGGCAAATTTGTTCAAATCATTACATGCAATTTTGCTAAAGAGAAGTGGAAGGACTACTACAATTATGTAAGTCATGAGAGTTAGGTGTTACTTTTTGTACGTGTAATAAGTGTTGAATCTCAAACAATTTATGGGTCATCCTTGAACTATATTAGTTTAGTAGAAGTGAGAAAGACGTGGGGAAAATGAATATAAGAGAAGAAACATGATCCAATAATGAATGGCTTGAAGTATAATTTACATATTGAATAATTCTAAAATGACCTAAACTTGTATGAACCTATGGATGAGACTACTTATTTATAAGTTTAGGTCTAATATCTTGAGCACTACCGAGAAGGATGCAGAAAGGGCAATATAAAAAAAGGATTTTGTTTAAAATTGTGTAATATGAGATGCGCCTTGAGGTTCATCTCAGTACTTTTTACAAAAAAATTGGATTTAAGATTATGTTTCATTATCCCTCGGTGAGGCTTATGTCTCACCCAAGCTATGGGGTGCCTTGAGACGTGCCTTGCCTCAAAAAACATCTTAGAATTTTTAAGCTATTCGATTTTTTTAACAAAATTAAAAGTAATATTAATATTTCTCACATATTAACCCTCACATCTCACACACTAAATAAATAAAAAAAAAGTAAAAAGAAAATGTATCTATAAAAATCTTTGTGGTTGAAATTTTAACTATTAACATAATTATTATTTAATTAATGCTCTATTGGTAATTATTTAGTAAAAAGTAGAGATAACTAGGATTAAAGGTAATTAGCAACGAAAGAATAAAGATACGATTTAGGATAACAAACGAGATAAGCAATTTATAATGCGGATGATTTTAATAAAAATCAATTGGATGATGATAGTAATTAGGATTTTAAAATTTAAAAATTCAAATGCTATTGAATTTTTATGTTCTTTTTTAAGGGGGTAGTGTGAGAGAAAGATTGATGCTAAACTTATTTTGATTGTTATGTCTTGATGTTTTATTATTTTATTTTAATATTTTAGCTTACTTTAATAGTTCAAATGTTTCTATTACCATCTTTTTTCATAATATGATGTTAAGATATTAATGTGATACTTTTAATTTTACGTTATTTATTACTTTTTTACTTAGTATGTTGTTATTTACTTTTTAATATGTAGAATATTAATATGTTATTTCTTACTTCATGTTTTATATT